ATTCACTATTTACATTATTCGGACTATTGTCCTCATATTTGTGGCCATTTTTATTACAACGTTTCGGCTGTTGTACGCTAGGACCTTCTTCAGGTTGTTGGAATGTCGAACTGAAAAACCTTTATCTATGGCAGAGTGAATAATGGTGTCAGTTAGATCCAGTGACAGGACCCAAAGAGTGTGAGTTCAATACTCAGTTAAGGCGGTGGAGAACGTGAAGAGGGGAATTAACAGGAGATAACTGATAACTGACATCCATTAAACATGGCACGTAAAACTAGAACAGTCTACCCCAGTGAGTGAAATAAAGGGTTCAGTTCTACATTCCAACCACCTGAAGAAGACTGGAGCGTACAACGGCGAAACGTTGTAATAAATATGGCGACAAAGATGAAGACAATAGTCCGAATAATGTAAATAGTGTACATAATACCTCACCTCAGAAATATAGACAGATACTGAAGGGCCCAAACGTTGTAATAAATATGGCGACAAAGATGAAGACAATAGTCCGAATAATGTAAATAGTGTACATAATACCTCACCTCAGAAATATAGACAGATACTGAAGGGCCGAAACGTTGTAATAAATATGGCGACAAAGATGAGGACAATAGTCCGAATAATGTAAATAACTACATACATAATACCTCACCTCAGAAATATAGACAGATACTGAAGGGCCGAAACGTTGTAATAAATATGGCGACAAAGATGAAGACAATAGTCCGAATAATGAAAATAGTATAATAATACCTCACAAAAATAACAGATACTAAGGGCCGAAAAGTTATTAAAAAAATACCTCACCTCGAATAAGAAACCCACATACCTACCTCAGTCAGATAGACAGATACCGAAGGGCCGAAACGTTGTAATAAATATGGCAACAAAGATGAAGACAATAGTCCGAATAATGTAAATAGTGTACATAATACCTCACCTCAGAAATATAGACAGATACCGAAGGGCCGAAACGTTGTAATAAATATGGCAACAAAGATGAGGACAATAGTCCGAATAATGTAAATAGTGTACATAATACCTCATCCCAGAAATATAGATAGATAGTGAAGGCTGCATTGTTTCTGTATAAATGACAGGTGGGTTCTGTGGGTGTTGGAAAAATATGTCAGCAGACGCCTACAACAGGAATTAGCTAGACTCTTTAGTAGACTCCACAGGTTTCCGACAAACACACACACACACACACACACACAATACACACAAAATACACACACGCACAAACATATATTAATTACATTTACCGGCCTGAATGTTTGAGAAAACAGTAATTTAGACTTTGCTGACTTGACGCTTCTTTGTAACTTATTAGTATAGCACGTCAAACCAGGTTACTGAGTGTTAGAGAATATGAGAAAAACAACCATTAAGGAGAGAGGACAATAAAAGAAAAACAATTAAGAAGACAAATGATAACGATTGAGATTGCATTGAAATTTTTGAAGATTTAGTGGGAAGCAAGAAGACAGAAAAGAGTTCCACAAACGAGAAGTGCGATAGAAGAAACTGTTAGCATAGAACTTACGGTTGCATCTAGTCATTTCAAATGATAAGGTGCAACAGGAAGATTTAAGAAGTTAAGAAAACTTGATTTTATTTGGGAAATAGATTACAATAATCGAAGAGACCCTTCTGTGAACAATCGGGTCTAAGACGGATCCCAAAAAATAGAAAGAATGTAAGACAACAATGCATCTTATCACCGAATGTATTCAACCTTTACAACGTGTGGTCCTAACAGAAGTAGGTGTCCTACGTTGATTTATTATTGGTCGACGCAATTTTAACAACATATAAGATACGCAGTATTAAGTATTGCTATATTATTTTATTATATTATAGCATAGTATAATATATTATTATATTATAATATAGTATAATATATTATTATATTTATATTATAATATATTATTATATTATATTATAATATAGTATATTATATTATTATATATTATAGTATAATATGTTATTATATTATATATTATTATATTATATTATAATATAGTATAGTGTAATATTATATTATAACTAGCAGCATGGCCCGGCGTTGCCCGTGCTTGATTCAAAAATCGTACGACTCATACAGTAATCGCTATAAATCGTTTCTAATCAAACTATTTCTTTCTTATTGCTACGAAAACGCCAACACAATCTTTCAGGGGAACAAGTCGGAGCCATTAATTGCCTCCTGCCTATGTTTTTGAGTATCTTTGCCCACGTCTAAATTGCAGACCTTTCTTCCTATCTATTTCTATAAGTGTGAGAATTCCTAACCTTAGATCAGCGTTTCTCATGTAGTACGCTTTGTCGCCCTGAAAGATAACCAGGTTCGACCCCACCTTAATAGAAGAAGACAGTTGATAATGACTGATTTAAATTCCTTGAAGTAAACAAAAGAGAAAGAATTAATTATTAAAGAATTTAGCATCCAGTTGAAAATATCAGATGACAAAGTCTTGACTTAGACATGGAAGCCGTGTGTTTGGTGACTGGAGTTTTCAAAATAAAGCTTTATTTTTTTTTTTTTTTTTAAATATAAAAATAATTCATAAGTAACTGTTCTGTTAACTTGGAAGCGGCGAAGTTGGCTAACTGTCAGGGCGAAATGATGCGCTCAGGCGCAATGATGCGCTTATGCGCAATGATACGCTCGGGCGCAATGATGCGCTCCGGCGCACCGTTTGAGAAATGTTGCTTTAAGATAATCCATTCTCTTTTGCTTTCCACAAGGGATTTAGAGCAGTCATTATGGACCTATCTAAAAAAAAAATATAGCAGATTCGTCATAAATCCCTTTAAATGAAAACTCTTTTGCTAATATTCTTTGGGAAGACTAAACCAAAATTTCATATTTTGAAATTTCATGACTAATTTTTCCTTTTTATAATTTAAAGGGCGCCCCAGTATTTTAGTTTAGAGTGCGTCCTGAAATAAATAAAAAAAAAGTTAGAGAAATACTGCTTTAGATGATGCAATACTGCTACTACTACAATTACTACTAATAATAATAATAATACTAATAATCATAATGAAGAAAAAGAAGAAATTAAAGAATAGGTAATTCTTACTAAAGCATCAAATACAAGTCAAGAGATTAGCTGTGTTTATACTTTATTCTGTAAGTAAATCATGGTTAATTTCATAATTAAATTTATAAACACTGTTCGAGTTTATACTTGAGTCAATATCAAAACATTCGTTGAATTTATACTTGAAACTGTAGGTAAACATTTGTGGGGCTCATACTTGAGCCTATAGGTAAAGATTTGCCTTCACGCAGTAGCTGATTTTCTTAGGAGACCTTATCCCTCTATAAGAGAAGAAGAAAATATTTTTAGGCTCCGCCGACGGCGTTCTAAAGGACTATAAAAAATAGATATAACTGAATAGGGAGATTAATCTACTAAGTATTTTACATGCATCAAAGTTTGTTTGTATCATTTCACCCCATGTAAGACAGTAAAGACACTAAGAAACAAGGGATTGCTGTCTTTGAAAAAAGAAATAAAAAAACAGTAGAATCCCTCATATAGAATCCCTCATATCCGGAATCCCCCATATCCGGAATCCCGCATATCCGGACATGATTTTGATGTGTATATTTGAACTATTTGAGTGATATGTGAACTGGTTTGAAAGTATTGGTGCAAAAGATGATGGGAATAAGAGGAAAAGGACAACTTTGGAGTTATCACAAAAAGTGGAAATTTTAAACAGACTAGACGCTGGTGAAAGTTTATTGTAACTAATGGCTGAGTTCAACATAGGAAAGTCAAAATTGTATGATATAAAATCTTCCAAAGAAACTATTCTCCAGTGTTCACACTGTCACAATGAACAAGGAAATAAAAACATGATTGTGATAAAACCTGGACTGAAATTGAAAAAGTTATTGTAAAGTTTGTCAGTTTTATGGAAAGAAAGCCAGCATTCATCTATGACGATTGCAATAACGCACGTAGAGTTAAAAAGTGTCTTTCGCTTAAAAAATTTCAAGAACAACAGCAAAAAGTTGAGAATGACATTAAAAGAGAAAGAATCATCATACAACAACGATTAGAAAATTCTCGTTACATTATTTATTTTGCATACGTGGCATACTTAATTTAATGAATTTTCATTAACAACACATAATTTTTTTTTTCCCTTAAAATCAATTCCGTTATATTTCACTCACCATTATCTTATTTTGTTTACTATAAAACATTGAAAATAAATGTTAAACCTGATTTCATTTCTTTTATTTTAATCTAAATATAATCCCTCATATCTTTGTAATCAATTCCTCATATCCGGAAGGCCTTTTTAGTCCGGTTATCAGGGATTCTACTGTATTATTAAGGAGTGAAAACAATCGACTGGCACTGCGTTTTTGTTTTGAACTTTGAAAATCGATCTCCTAATCCTGGCCAGAATATGAAATTTAGTTATTCTGGAAGACAAAAAATGGGCTCGCTATTTCAAACAACCACTGAGTAAAATTGAAACAAAATATTTAAAGCTGGATAATTATTTATAGCTTTATGAGTGAATGAAAAACATAGTAAAAAATGAAAGTAAAGATAGTGCCGAAACTAAGTCGTAATTTGGAAGTCCTAAAGTGTCGTGCAAAAAGTTTCGAGGAACAATAAATCCTAAGCCAAATGAAGACCATGTAGACGACAGAATTATTAAAATTAACAGGACCAGTGATAAAGCTGATGAAATATTGGTGAAACTTTCTGTACATTGATCCCCACTGGTGAAAGCCTCCAATTACGACGGGGGCGAAAGCGCGATGATGAACGACTGTCCGAAAATTCTCATTTATATAAACAGATCCAGAAAAGAAAACAGATTGCAACGAAATCATGAAAAATGCACTCGAAAGGATAATATCTTTGGAGAAAGAAAAAAAATCACTTAATTTCTTGATTTATAGTTTTGTGGGGTTTTCAAAGTTATCTGTTGTCAAACATGGCCGACAATTTGGCGCAATGCCTCGACTGCGCAAAATTTCCAACGAAAAACGAAAGAGATATTTAAAGAAGTTCTTCAACAAATTGCATTTGCTAATTTTTCTTTTCTTTATTGAAATGTTCTTTTACCTAGATGCTTTTCTTTGGTTTTTTCATTCAATTTATTCATTTCTTTCTTTTTTTTACATTTTTTCCTTCTATCTTCTCTTCCTTCTCGTCTTTCTTTCCTGTTTTTTTCTTTGGCAGGGTGGGGGGCTATTTTTTTCTTTCTTTCTTTTATTGCTTCTTTCGTTTTAGTCATAAATGATGACTTTCTCTACCTTCATCTTTTTTTCTTGATTCCTTTTCTTTGCATTCCATTTTCCTTTCTTTCTCGCTTTCTTTTTCTTTTTTCTTTCTCGTTGAATAGCTTTTTCCTTTCTTTTTCTCTTCTTTCCTTCTTGCTTTTGATTCTTTCTTTCTTTTTCGTCGTTTGTAGTCGGTTTTTTGCCACCCGTAAAAAAATTCCTGTGCAAGGATTTTTCTCGTCATTGCTAGTGCACTCGGATGGGCGAATCACCAACGGAAATATATCCAGTATAAGTTGTTCAAACTCCGATAACGGTTCTGTATAAATGCTTATTTCTTCGTTACAGTTTCTTTTTCTAAAACTAACCTTGCCTTTAAAAAAAATCTGAACTTAATAATCAGCAAAGTGAGTATATCTTCCCAAAAAGGAAAATACATTATTGCAGATATATGAAGAACATAGGCGATCGTTTGTCAGTGGGTTGCTAAAATTAGTTTTCTAAAATGGTTACAGCTTGCACAACAGTTGATTATATGTGGGAACTAGAAATTCCACGGTGTCTCTAATTTATTTATTTTTAAAGCTTCAATTGCAAAAAAAATGTACCCGCAAAAAAAAACAAAAAAACGTACCCTCAAAAAAAAAAAAAAATATCCGAAAAAAAAAAAAAAAAAAAAAAAAAAAAAAAAAAAAAAACGTATGTGTGTTAAAAAAAAAAAAAAAAAAAAAACACGTACCCGCAAAGAAAAAAAAAAACGTACCCGCAAAAAAAAAAAAAAAAAAAAAAAAAACAATTGTATATGTAAAACGGACGGTTCTTTAGTTGATATCTTTATTATTGTATACACCCTTTGGTAATTTTATCGTTTTAAAAACTATTTTTCTCCAGAAATGACAACAAAATTGTTAGGCACTATTCTTGTAAATAAACAATTTTTAACCGTTTGGCTTTCAATTTTCGAGAAAAAGAAAAAAAAGGTACAAATTCAGATTTTGCTCGCAGCCTCTTTTGGTGAATTTATGCGATGAGATCAAATGAATAAAATGTTTGGAAAATACATTTTTCTTTTCAAGTTTACTTTTACTGTTACTCGTCATTATTTCAATTTTCTTGTTCACTGATATTTTGATGAATTTATGAATAAGAAAAAAATGTCTTCAGAATTATTTCTTTATAATATGGTAAATAATAAATATTGGATTGGAATTGTTTTGTAATCTTGTAAATAAATAAATAATTTTTAACATCTTTGTTGTCAGTCCTCAAAAAAAAAAACGAGAATGGTTTTGATTTTATTAACATTCTAAAAATGTTTCTTTTTTAAAAAAAAAAACATTAAAATTGCCATGGGTGTGCACAGCAATAGCGGTGTCAAGTGAAAAGCCGTCCTTTTCAAAGACCATTTTGTTCGGATACTTATGTAATGTCTCTCCTCTTATATGACAGTGAATGCGGGATTATCACCTCATAGATGAAGTAGAGATTTCATAAATGTGGATCTACAGAAGGATACTGAGAATACCACGGAACGAACATGCAAGCAACGACGAAATTTTAGAGAAAATAGAAACAAAAACGACAGAGAATGAGAAAGAAACAACATTTCTAGGGTACATAATGATGAAAGAGGGCTTGAAGAATTTGAAACTCACAAGGCTTATTGAAGGCAAGAGAGACAGCAAAAAAGCAGCGAATAAACTATCTAAAGAGATTGTGTAAATAGTTGACAGAGATAGTAAAAAGGCAAAATTTACTAATAGCTGGAAATTGTGGAGAGCCATGATCACCCACGTCCTGAAAGGACACGGCATATAGAAGAAGAATGACATTGTGCAAATGGTTTGCAAAACAGAGATTGGGAGAGATAGTAAAAAGCATACTTTACAGTTACAAAGGAAAGGAAAATGGGGAGAGCCATGGACAACCAACGTCCTGAAGAGCACATAAAAAAGAATATAAATTGTTGGCAGAACAGACATTAGGTGAGATAGTGAAAAGGCATACTTTACTAAGTGTTACAAAGGAAAGGAAATTGGGGAGAGCCATGATCGCTCACGTCCTGAAAGGACATGGCACATAGAAAAAGAACGAACGTGTGTAAATGTTTGACAGAACAGAGATTAGGAGAGATAGTGAAAATGCACATTTACTAAGTGTTACAAAAAAAAGGAAGTTGTGGAGATCCATAATCATCCACGTCCCACGGCACGTAAAATAGCGAGCTTGTTTAAATGGTTGGCAAAACAGAGATAAAGATAGTCAAAAAGGCATGCATTAATAAGTGTTACAAAGGAAAGGAAGTTGTGGAGAGTCAAAATCGCTCACATCCTGAAGGGACACAGAACATAGAAGAAGAAGAAGAAGAAGGGGTTTGTGTAAATAGTTATCAGAAAAGAGATTAGGAGAGATAGCGAAAAGACAAACCTTACTAAGAGATACAAAGGAGAGGAAGTTGCGAAGAGCCATGAACATCCACGTCCTGAAGGGACACGGCACTCTTATAAAGTACGTATAACGCTTATGGACGCATTCAGTACAGCAAGCGTACGACTGAAAAACGCTACGCCTTTGCGACCCACTTTTTGCCGCTGTTCCATGAGCAGACGTTCTATTCGTAGAGGATGGGCGAATCCAAGCTTCAATAAGTATGGAGAAGGTTAGTCAGTCTTTCTACAAAACAGGCACATAGAAGATGTTTGTCCAGACAAACCTCTCATCAACGGACTAATAGGGGTAAAGGTGGTCCGTTAAAGCCGATTGTCCATAAATGGGAAGGGATTATTTTTAAGTTATAAAGCCACAATAGTAACTATCAGTAGTTATGATCATAATGTAAATAATCTACCTAGCGAGCTTGTTTAATTAGTTGAGTGCAAGGTTGTTATGAGTGATAGTAAAAAATATACTAAGATCTACAAAGGATAAAAAGTTGTGGAGAGCCATGATTGACCACGCCCTGAAAGGACACGGCACATAAAAAAGAAGAATATTAGACTTTGCCAAATTTTGAATGGCTTCAACCAGATATAAGTCGAGTTTGTTGTTCATCTAATTTTAGGTGTATTTCAATTTGGGATTTTGTATTTAAATGAATATTCCTTCACCTGAAGAGCAGAATCTGGACGACCACTTCATATAGAAACTCGTCAAGATTGATATATTTTAAAGTGGTAGATTCCATGTCATCGATAGCACAGATCGAAGCGAAAGTAGTTTCAATCGTTTATATGTAGTTGATGATCTGATAAATAAATACTTTGTACATTATCTATCTTACTTATCTATCTATCTATCTATCTTACTTATCTATCTTATCTATCTATCTTCTCTATCTCTGTTATCTATCTATCTATCTCTGTTATTTATCTATCTATCTATCTCTCTATATATATATGTTCCTTATCAATCTATCTATCTATCGATATACGTTCCTTATTTATCTATCTCTGTATCTCAGTCTGTTCATATCTATCTATCTATCTATTTTATTCGTTCTGCATTTTTCTCACCATTTGATCCATTCTCTCATCTTTTCTTTTTCTGTTTCTCTCACTCACACACACATACACACAAACTTAAATACGTACATACACACACACACACACAAAATATATGCATTTTTAAGAATTTTAATGCTTCTCCGTTTTAATGTTCGTAATTCTGCGTGGTCATTTGAGATATGGGAGCCCGAAAGTGATATTTTCCATTCATGATCACACAGATAAGTTCTTATTGGAAGCACAGTAATCATACTAATTAGTGTCAGTCGATTTGATTCTGCCGTTCTATCCTAGTTCATGATTTCTTTCGCTTAAATACCACATCTTGTGCGCGGACAAAGACAACGACATTGCAAGTCGCTTTTGTTTTTTGACCCTAACAAGATTTATGTTCTCTGACCTTCTAATTATTGTAATTTAGAAGCATTCTTCTTGATTTATCTCTCTCTCTCTCTATATATATATATATATATATATATATATATATATATATATATATATAAACTACGAAGAAGAATTAAGTACATTTGATGGGGCCAGAGATAAGATAAATTTTAACTAAAAGATATAATGAATACTAATTATAGTGGCCAAGTTCCTCAGATGGAAATTGCAGTCCTGAATCTATAATAAATCCTTTTTTTTATAAAAGGAACTCATTCTGTATAATGAATACAGTTACCTACTACTTATCAAAGTGTTCGCGTCTCTTGTGATAGGGTAATGGTTAACAATCTAATACTACTGAGCGGCAAGTTCGATCCTCGCACGTGACCTATGGACTAAACTATGCTATGCTATATATATATATATTTATTGAGCTCAGAATAATTTTCAACTGGAAGGCCGTTTCGACCTTTTTGGGACTCATCAGTAGTACGCATCCACTACCGAGAATCGAACCCGGACCGTTTCGTCATTCCAACTGTACCATGGGGCCTCGATGACGAAGATACAAACTAGACTCGATATAGCGCCTCTACTCACTTAGTTCCGCACTGATACTTTTATGCGGATAAAACCTCGGACCAGTGCCCCAAGAGCCACTTCTTCTTCTTGACCCTTAGCTGCTCGTCACGAGCATTAGCTGAACCAAGCAAGGATATACAAGTGAAGAAATTGGTGGGGGGGTTAGAATAATTATATATATATATATATATATATACATTGATGCATGTTTCATTAAATAATATAGACAAGTTTTGTCTATTTTATGTAAATTCTTTTCATATCGTCTGATAAGTTTAATAACATTATTATTTAACGAAAAAAGAAAATCACAATATTGATATGTATTTTTTAATCCTATCTAAGCTTTCGACTTACATAAGCCATTATCAAAGAGGACAATTACATTACAATATATTTAACAATACACGGACAAAACAATAATGATAGTCTGTTTCTGTTTACATGGAAGATTTCCAAGCAACGACAAACTCGTGCAGATATAAATATCACTGTGTGCGTTTATCTAAAAATAAATACGCTAAAATTCACCTTCATCCCTGCCGTGCGCCGACGTCTTAGTGGTAGAATCGCCGATTGACACCAATTCAGTCGGGTTTCGATCCTAGCTAGAGGCAACTGGATGTCTAGCCACACTGAAGAGCAGCGAAACAGTCTGTCTGTGGATGACTTTTTATATATATATATCGACACACTCACATATACAAAGCGATTTTGAAATCACACACACGTTTTATTTTTAATTTATCTATTCTACATCTTCTTCAAATGGAGAAACGCTGGAGCAATGCATTGAGGAATTGGAGAGCCGGGTTCGAATTCCAGTCGAATTCATAACACCCATTTGCGCGCTAATACCCTTGGTATGTATCCAGCTTTTCTCCTCACCGATCCCCTACAGCTATGGATAAATAGCCGGGCAGACTGGGTTCTTGGGTCGCAACCGGTCTAAGAGAAGAAAAAACTCTGAATTCAAAACCTCCAACTCTGGGTAAATAGGTGGAACAGTCTGTAGATTATGTAGCTATGGTTGGCAGCCAGACTAGGAGAACAACAACTCCCTAAGACAGTCCGATATTCTGGCAACTCCTCCGAAGCTGTATTGGCCTCTGCCTTTCCCCTTGGACAACATTGGTGGTTTTGAGAGGTGGGAGATTAAAAAAAAAGCCCTGGCCAAGCCTGCGCCTTGGAGAGGGCATAACTCTTCGGGCGCAGATCCATGGATTCTCTCGAGATCGATGGATGCAATATGTATTTTCTTTGGAAATTGTCTGGTCGTAAATTAACCGTTGGGCATTCGGTGGTCAGCGCACTTTCAATGCATCTTTATCCGAGTCAATTATATTTTTTATTTCTTTAAGACACCATTTCCCAGGCCAAAGCTGATATCATAATGGCATACAATATTTTTTTCTTTTATGTTTGTATATGTTTTCTTAAAATTTAGAAGCGTTTCGCCAATGTTTTGTTTCTATCCCATCTATCAAACTATCTTTCTATTAAACTATCTAAGCCTGTTCATATTTATCTAAAACAGTCTATTTGGATCTATCTATTTATCTATCTATCTATCTATCACAGTCTATTTGGATCTATCTATCACAGTCTACTTGGATCGAAAGTTCTATCACATTCTGTTTGGATCTATCTATCAGTCTGTTTGGATCTATCTGTTTGGATCAATCTATCTATCTCTTCAGATCTATCTATCTATCTATCTCTTCAGATCTATCTATCTATCTATCTATCTATTACAGCCTGTTTGGATCTATCTATCGCCCTACTCTAAACAATAGAGTATCATCGTGGGTGTATCAGGATTCGTATATTTATACCAAAACGTCACTTTATCTCGATTAATACTACTACTACAAATAATAATAATAATAATAATAATAATAATAATGATAATGATAACCGAGAGACGGTAATGAAAAAGAAATTTACAAGCAAGATCGGCAATGTCGCTTCATGTACTGTTTGAAAAACACACTGGAGCCATTAAGAAAATCCCTGAAATTGGTTGGCAAAAGGCGAATTGAAACGTAAAACTAGAAACCTCCTGGTAAATGCCCAAGATCAAGCCCTGAATACTTGTTGTGTCTGGAAGAACATGTACCACCAAGTGTATTCAGACAAATACAGGGCTGTGTATTGATTCCTATGCATGAAGTTAACTTTGATGAGAAATTCTACCACTGCAATCCATGACAGTTGATCGACAACGACCAAATGAAGACCTTCAAACAGGTCGCAACCTTTGAGGTCACTAAACCAAATATCACCATCGTTGTAAACAAAAATGGTTTCACATCTATGTGGCTCTTCCTGGGGAGCATAATATCAAGGTCAAAGATATTGAAAAGCTTAAGAAGTACACCGACCTCTGGAATTGGGGAAGGCAAAATGTAGGACGCGGACGTTTAGGCCATTATCCTCCCAGTTATCATTGAGGCGTTGCAGTCTCTATCAACGAATTTAAAAACCTTCATTAGGAAAAGTGGAATAAAGCCTAGTACCCCATCGCTTCAGAAGCCTGAGTTGTTTGGCACTGTAAATATCCTGCGAGATATGCTATCAGTTTAAGGTCGTAGACAACGATTGAAGAATCAGAGAACCGAGTTCGAATTCCAGTCAAATTCATTACATTCACTTACAGTCAAATACCCTTCGCAAAGGCATGAATCCGACTCATCTACCCACAACTATGGATAAATAATAGTACAAACTGGGTTCTATAGCCTTGGGTGGCAACTGATCTAGAAGAAGGAAAAACTCTGAATTTAAAATTGTATGTAGATTAGGAAGAATCGTTCGCATTCCCGACTACGGTCGATTCTTTGAAGCGTACGACTTCATTGAAAATGTTCATAGCGCAAGATCTCCGGTTGAAATCGAAAAATCGAGTCTGGGGTCAAATTTAGATCAAATATGGATCGGTATCCGAGAGAATGATAAGCGTATATAGTCTTTCTTATATGTACTGAGTATCCAAATAATGTAGTTGAAAAAATACAAGAAGAATCTGGGGTTTTCTTAGCTCGAATTTTTGTTGAGCTCTAACAGATAATTGTTACTATTATGGCCTGAAAATATAAAATGAGACGAAATTTTCATTGATGCACGTGTTGACGACGTGTCCATGTGAACTGCTCTTCCAATAGAGAGAAGGCCACGTATTTGTGTGTGTAGAGGAGAAAAGTAAGGTCGATTCTCATTGGTTTAGAATGAGTAAATTAATGATAATTATAACAGTTATAATTATTTTTAGACACTATAATTAATTTTTATTTATTTATTTTTTTTTTATAGACAATCTAATTCCTTTTTTTACTTATGTATTTCTTTATAGACACGTCATAGAAAAAGAACTTATAGCGAGAATATTAAAAAAAAGAAAAAGATGCTAGTATGCTGAGGAGACTTACATTCACTTGGCTTTACATTAAATCGCGTAAAAAAAAACCGATGACCTATGCAAAATATTAATGAAGGTGGCAGCAAATGTTCGCGCATGCAAACAGTTCGCTCATAGGAGACGATGAAAAAGCGGTTATGTCATTACAATCGCTGCTAGAAAATATTTTTGGCTGTATTGAGGGCAGAAGGAATATGTGCCTGTGTGTTCGAGTATTCAGAGATGCCCGAGCAAGCAAGTGTAGTACGTTGCTTTATGAATGAATCTGTTTCACTTGTTCGACTATCAACCTTGTGGAGTTGATGTGGATAATTTTTTCATATTTATCTCTCGGCCTTGTTACAATTATTTGTATTCATTTAGAACAAAATGGGATTCGTTTTGGAAGTTGATAAAAAAAAAAAAGGCGGTGGTAAGTGGAAGACATGATGAATGCAAAATGAAAAAAAATACTTTTAAGAAAATATTTGTCTCAGTCTCTTTTTTTATCTCGTTTTTTTTTCATATCTATTTCATTCTATTCATATATCTATCCCAGTTTGTATCTATCTATCTCAGTCTGTTCCTATCTATCTATCTATCTCAGTCTGTTCCTATCTATCTATCTATCTATCTATCTAAATATAGTTAATATATCTATCTATCTATCTATCTATCTCAGTCCGTTCCTATCTATCTATCTATCTATCTCACTCTATTCGTATGTATCTCAGTCTGTTCGTATCTATCTATCACAATCTGTTCATATCCACCTACAATCTTCAAAAATTTAAATGCAACGCCAATCACTATCTTCTGCCTTTTATTGTCCTTTCTCCTCACAAGAGTCTTCTTATTCTCTTTCACTAAACCTCCTGGGTCTTAGTGGCATTATCGCCTTGCTAGGGGTGAAATGATTAAAAAAATATTATTGTTATTACTTCATAATAAATATATTACAATTCTGCTTGTTCCTTTCTGTTTGTGCTTTAGCTAGCTCGACCGTCACGTCCTGTTTGTACAACATAAATAATGGACTATTCCGTTTTTTATCTCAAGACGGAAAATTTATAGCAGTGACATTGATTCGTTTCAGTGAAAGAAAGAAAGAAAGAAAGAAAGAAAGAAAGAAAAGAAAAAAAGATTAAGATTTTGAAATGATCAGAGCCGTTAAGAAAGAATAAAAATAAAAAAGAAAAAAGCCGTAAAGAAATAAAAAAATGAAAAGATAAAAAAAAAAAAAAAAGAAAAAAAGAAAAAAAAAAAAAAGAAAGAAAAAAAAAAAAAAGAAAAAAAAAAAAAAAAGGAAGAAAAAGAAAACAAAGAAAAAAAAAGAAAAAATAAAAAGAAAAAAAAAAAAAAGAAAAAAAGAAAAAAGGAAAGAAGGGAAGGAAAAGAAAAGAAAAAAAAAGAAAAAAAAATAAAGAAAGAATAAAAAAGAAAAGAAAGAAAAGAAAAGAAGGAAAAAGAAAAGAAAGAAAAAAGAAAAGAAAGAAAGATTAAAAAAAAAAGAAAAGACATAGAAGGTGATAACGCTCTCATGCATTTAATGTCTGCTTTAGTGAAATAGAAAATCTTGACAGTTTCAAATCTTTTCATTTGTACCCTCTTGGTTCTTTTAAAAATGACTTGCATTCATTCGTATGATTGTTATTGCAACATTTTGTTAAAGTTGTTAAGCTCAAATATTTAATGATGCAATAGGCGAATCTCCGAGGGTATTTTAGAGTTGCAAGAAGCTTTTTTTCCGACGAATAACATAAGAATTAAGATTCATCAGAAAATTTAAATAGGAAAACCAAATTAACTTATTTCAATGAATACTATTTATGATTATTCTGTAAAAAAAAAAAAAAACGTTGCCTGAAATCACGGGTATCCTACACGTTCCTCTGCTTTCCACGTTTCCATTAATTTCTCTGTTTATAAGCCTTTTTAATTGTATGTTTTCATTTTATTTTAATCAGTTTCTACTAGAGAAAGTCTTTATCCTTTCATAATATTCTGATGATGATGCAAAAAATGCATTGATGAATTTATAAAATCTTCAATTAGTAATATACGTTAAATTAAATATTCATTAACCTTAAGCATTTTATTTATAAAATAATATACAACCAAAAAGTTAATTGGTGGAAAAGCATTTGCATATATATGCATAATAGACTCACAACACATACTCTCTTTTTAACATATTGTATATAATCTTTATATATATATATATATATATATATATATATATATATATATATATATATATATATATATATATATATATATATATATGGGAAATGGATTAAGTCCGACAATTATTTAATATAATTTCTGTTTGGATTGTTATTTTGACAGATACAATTTATTTAGTAAATGCTATTGTTTTTTTTTTTTTCTTTTTTTTTAAATTAAACAGTATTAATTAAATTTATTAGCTTGAATGTTCGAGAACTTCATAGAAAACATACATTCTTCAACACATCAAATGAAGATTTCCGAATAGGAATACAGGTTCGATTCCTATTGGAGAACGTCTATTTTTTTAACAAATTTCTCGAACATTCAGGCCGGTAAATGGAATTAATTCTGTTTAATTAAAAACACCACATTTACTTAAATAAATCGTATCAATTAAAATAACATAGAAACATAAAATATATTAAATACATATGATTAAATACACACACACACACACACACACATCTGATAAAATGGAAAAAGGTTTTTTTTTTATGATGGGTTTCTTTTAGTTTCTGGAATGAGGAGTTATCATTATTTCGGACTATTGTCGTCAACTTTGTTGTTTTTATCACACCGTTTCGGTCGTTGTGCCCTCCGGCCTTCCACAGGTGTATATCAATAGATAGATATATAGATAGATAGTACAGGTAATCGATCCGTTGGTATATAATCCGGGTGGATCCTAGTAAAATGAATTTATTAAAATTGATATATAGATTATTATAATAAATATATATATATATATATATATATATATATATATATATATATATATATATATATATGTATGTAAGCAAATATATGGATATAGATCCGACAGTATGAAGAAAAATATACGGAAAAAACAAACAAAAATCCTAATATGCAATTATGTTGTTTTAATGTTAATATAATGTCAACGTCGGACGTTTCGGTCTAGTAGACCATCTTCAGGACATATTCATAAAACATAATTAACATTAGACTATATTTAATTCAACGTGAAAAGACGATGGACATAAAATTAAGACTAATCAAAACAGATAACTGAAATTTTTTATAAGATCAGCGTTCCGTTTAAATATGATCACGTCGTCGTCACGTGGGCGATGTTGTGAAAACGTATTTCTAAAATAGAGTATTTTGAATGAAAAATGAAAAGAATTTCATTTTAATCTAAAACTTATATGTACGTTTGTCGAGATTAATCTTGCTAGAAAAGGGGAAATATTAAAGAAGCCGGGTCTAGTATTCACCGTGCGTGAGATAGATATTATGCCTGCTTCCTAAATCCGTCTAAGATTTTTATTATGAATATATTTTAAAATCTTCACAGAATCAAAATCGAAATTATGATCAGATTTAGTTGTGTGTACAACTAAAGCATTGTTTAAATTACCGAGGCGAATATCTCGTTTATGTTCGAAAACACGAAATTTTACGGATCTATATGTCCGACGTTGACATTATATTAACATTAAAACAGCATAATTGCATATTAGGATTTTTGTTTGTTTTTTCCGTATATTTTAAAAAATTTATATATATATATATATATATATATATATATATATATATATATTCGAATAAGGAAAATTTAGCTTGGTACCTCAGTTTTCTAAATTGATTTATACACTTTTCTTAAAGACAGAAATTTATATATTTGTATTTTTTTTTTATATCTTCTTTGAATAAAATCAACAGCTTTCATTGGTTCTAGCCAACAACTGCTTGCACACGAATAGTTTCTGTGTTTGTGTGTGCGTTCATGACCGTTTTTAATTTCTTCGCATATTTTCTTTAATGTGCACACGTATTTTGGTGCGTTGACGTCATCTTCTGACGTCAACAAGTGACGATAATGTCTGCTTACGCGCGCACCGGCTCGCTGACGTCAGCCAAAACACTATGACGTAAATCGCGCAAGTAAACGACGATTTCGACCAACTTTTTATTGAGGTGGGGGCGTTTGTTGAGCTTGCTATATTTTCAACTTTAACAAATTGCACCATATGAAAATTCAAGAAGCACACACACGTACGTACGTACACACATGACCGAAATGAACGCACGTGTCTAAATATTTACTTATCTTTCTATATATGTCTCTGTGTGTAAGTGCGTATGTAAGCATGTGCGCGTTAACATTATATTTCTCGAATAGCCAGGAAATATAAAAACTAATTTAGTACGAGTTTTGTCTTTCAGAAGAAAAAGCTCGCTTTCATTTGCAAAGGGAAAGAGTTTCTTGAAATGAAAACGTATTTGAAATGGATTCTGTTATGACTTAGCATTCTGGTGTTGAAAAAAAAAAAAAAAAAGACGGTGCAATATATTTCTGGAGAAATGTTTACTCAGGTCTATCTTGGAAGTGGTACTCACTTATCTGTATATCTACAACCAGAATCATCAAAAGCAGGAGTATTTTGGTTCGTAGCAATGTCCAAATCTTATTACTTTTTTGTTTTAGTTTTTTTTTTCTAAGTTCTGTTATACTTTTTATTTACAATATAAATTATTTCTTATTACTAAAACCGTTATATTTACTAGATGCACGCGTTTGAGTAGACGTCCTGTTTTCTTTAAATTGTAATTCAACGTACACCGGCCTGACAGACTCTCGAAAACCCAGGACGTTAAACTGCACTGTTCAAAAAACAGGGGTGTCTTCTCAAACACGTGTATCCACAAAATATAACGTTTATATATTTAAATATATAATAATGAATATATATATATATATATATATATCAGGGATAGAGAGTGGACAAAGTAGTTTATGTCCTTACTGTCTATATAAACGGTCTATCTCCGATATCGACCACACTTTCCCTACAAATCTAGCAATTTTAAAAAAAAACACACACACACATTATATATATATATATATATATATATATATATATATATATATATATATATATATATATATATATATATATATGTTTAACAATTTCAGTCTGTTTCATGCTTAAACGCAACTGTCTCCGCTGGGTGTTGAACTCAATATGCAATTTTGTATTTACATACAGTCTATCCATGATATTGAGCACTCTAATCCATAAATATAAGTTATATATATATATATATATATATATATATATATATATATATATATATATATTACAAAAAAAACAAACATTATTTCAACATAGAAGATAGCCGCGTACGGAACGGCCTGAAATAGATCATCATCAGCCTCTAAAATACATATGCTCTGTTATATGAAAAAATATTACTAGGATCCACCCGGATTATACAGTGTAACCCGGATATAAGAGTTGTCGGGACAGGAGAAAAGTCTCTTATATCCGTTATATTTTTTCTTATATATCCGGGTTTGGTCTATTTTTTTTTAGGTAACACAGGCTCTAATTTGGGACCAGAGAAAATCTCTCTTATATCCGGGTTACATGTATACCAACTGATTTTACCTGTACTATATATATATATATATATATATATATATATATATATATATAGTAGTATATGTTTAAATGATATGATCCTTGGTGAAGGAAAAAGGCAATTCACTGTATAAATCCTTTTCATATTAGTCGCATTTTCTGAACGAAAATATTTTAAATACGACAAACGAATAACAATATCAGCGATGAATTTATTTTTTCTTAAGAAAATTGAGCTTTCCTTGCAAGTTTAAGCGTTCTATTTCTTGAAAGAAACAAATTGAAAGTATATGTTGATGTCTGTTCCTCTGTCCTGTTAGGAATCTGATGCATTCGACATTTTGATAATGGTAGAGAATATTATTGTATCATCAAAATAACAGCTTTTTTTCTAGATCTCTTACTAAATATGCTGCTATTATAGATTCATATCCATTATAAGAGACGCTTTAAAATCAAATTTAAGTCAAAGTACAATAATTTTGATTATGAATGTGCAAAGTATACAAGACCGGAAATAGGAACTTCCTCTTCTATTATAAATTTGATTCAATATGTGAAATTTAAAATGTTTAAATATATATATATATATATTAGTAAAATTTCCCAGAATAATTCTGTAGATAAGATAAATTGGTTTAAAAAATGACAATTGGAAAAAAAAATCTTAGTTTTTTGCCGACGCTTTTCGTATTTCCGACTTTATCAAGTCAAACAATGAAATCGAAATGTTTTTGCTGTCATTGTTACATCAAATCCAGAATTTAAAAAAAGGCGCCCCTGCGTAAGCCTCTTTCTGGATAATGGTAACTTCCTTTATACTAAGAGTTTTTTGTTTTCCATGCCGACAATATAGTAAAATCGCCCAGAATATTTCCGTGGATAAGACAATATATAAAGTTATATTTGTATAAAGAAAGTTACCATTAGCCAGAAAGAGGCTTATACGGGAGCGTCTCTCTTTTTTAAATTCTGGATTTGATGTAACTATGACAACAAAAACATTTCGCTTTTATTGTTTGACTTGATAAAGTCGAAAGACGAAACACGTCGGCAAAAAACTAATTTTTTTTTTCCATTTTCATTCTTACAATATATATATATATATATATATATATATATATATATATATATATATATATATATCATGGAACTTGTTCAGATGAGCTCTTGACTGTGATACCTAGACTTTTTGAATTTAAGCACGATGCTAGACTGGAATCAATTTTGAATTTAAGCACGATGCTAGACTGGAATCAATTGAATTTAAGCACGATGCTAGACTGGAATCAATTGACATTTGACCTGACTAGACGTAACTGTAAATTCTATGCTAACAGATTCTTTTCCCGCACTTCTCGCATGTGGAACTCCCTTTCCGGCTCCAGCTTTCCAACCAACTTTAATCTGCAAAAATTCAAATACAATGTCAATCGCTATCTACTGTTCGCCTGGTTACTCTTCTTTTGTTCTCACTGCTTAGTAATATTTCCGTTTCAAACTCTTCCAAACCCAGTGTCTCCCAATAAATCGATTAATATATATATATATATATATATATATGAGTGTGTGAATAAACACAAAATGAAAATTTATCTTAGCCGTTGTTTTTCGTCCTCTGACGTATTTTAGCAGAGCAAATGTGATTTCATTTTTTTTTTTTCTGGAATTTTAAAAAAATATTTTTAAATTTATTCATCTTGTCCTTAAATATATATATATATATATATATATATATATATATATATATATATATATATATATATATATATCAGGTTAACTGAAAAGTCTGGGTTAGTTAAACTATGGAAGATGTTAAGTGACATAATTTAATAAATGATGAACAAAATTGGGTATATGTTTTGTGCATAAACAATAAATTTGTTCATAAATACCTGTTGCAAAATAAAATCTTCACATTTACGTTGATAAAGTCCGTCAAAGCAGGAATGGCGTCGGCTAAGATGAGTTTTTCTTTTGTCTGATATTGAGCACTTTAACCCACAAATATAGCATACCTTAAAACGATATATATTTAGTAAGACTTCTCAATTTTCGACAGTCATTATTAATTTCACCTTTTAATAAAATAAAAACTAAACAGGGCTGGTAACTTAAATGCACGCACCCACTAAAAAAATAGTGTCAGATAAAACATCCTTTAAAAAATGGAAAATATATATCATGTCTGCTATATTTATACAGTAAAAGTCCTCAAAATCACGGATGGTGCATGTGTAAATATAAAAAGACACTGACATCAACACCGAGTGGCGACAGTCTGTTTCATGCTTTAAAAATAATATTTCATGCCATATATATATATATATATATATATATATATATATATATATATATATATAATTTATAAATTAATTTAAATAATATTCCATGGTCATAATTTATTCCATTGGATTCCAAATGGAATAAATTATGACCATGGAATATTAGTGTTTAGCCTTTTATTATATCCTTACTCTGTCCTCGACATTGAGTTCTACCTGGATTCTATCCTCTTGGAATTGTTTATTCAAAAAAATATACATATATGTGTATGCACCTATGTATATATATCTATATATTTTGCATATGTATGTGTATATTTACCACTAATATTATACATATATATATATATATATATATATATATATATATATATATATATATATATATATATTGACATCGATGCCTACTTTTATATTTACATACACTAACTCTGTTATTGAGAGCAATTTAACCCATAAATATAACATATCTAAAAACTATATTTATATATATATATTTGTGTGTGTGTGTGTGTGTGTAGAAATATAGTTTTACGGTGTGCTATATTTATGGGATAAAGTGCTCAATATCAGAGATAGAGCGTATGTATATATATATATATATATATATATATATATATATATATATATATATATTAAGGCATTAAAAACTAGAAATGTAGTATTGTAGGCCATGATAAGTTTAAAATAAAACACAACAGTCGACCGGTTTCGTCCCCTCTCGTCAGAACTGTTTTTCTTTGGAATTTAGATTATGAGGAAAAGAAAAAGTCTGTCATGGGTGACATGAATGAATGGACAGGGAAGGAAAAAAAAAAAAATTCATTCATGTCACCCATGACAGACTTTTTTTTTTTCCTCATAATCTAAATTCCTGTTAACAGTTCTGACGAGAGGGGACGAAACCGGTCGACTGTTGTGTTTTATTTTAAACTTATCATGGCCTTTAATACTACATTTCTAGTTTTTAATGCCTTTACAAACCTTTTTAAAAACTGTATTCAAACCTATTTAAATATATATATATATAAAGTGAACATTGAAGTCAAGCCAGAGGCCACAGGCTATTTCATGCTAGACCATGAATCAAGCCATCTGATTCCTTCATACTTCTTCATTATATATATATATATATATATATATATATATATATATATATTATTATAAATTGATTTAAAATATGTTTTTTTTCCGAATGCTCTGTAAATTTACATTGAGCACTATTTTGTAAAAATAAAAATATCTATAAGAACACCGGATTATATATCTTACTGTTCTTTCTTTTTATTTAAATACATATATATATATATTATATATATATATATTATATATATTTAGTTGAATGGATATGAGTTTGTTACAAACTCATATCCATTCAACTAAATATATATCCAACTAAATATGTTAATGCTATCACTGATACTGAACGCTTTCAAATAAGCACCGAGCATATATAAAATATATATAGAAATTATATATGTGTGTATGCGCGCGCGTGTGTGTGTGCGCATGCATGTGCACACACATGTGTAGATATATGTATCCCGCTCGTTACTGTATGTTATTGAGAAGCATTTACACATTTAGTCATATAAAACTTTTGCTTCTTTTACAAGCATTCAATTTATTTAAATATTTACGGCTTAAGAGATTTCCGTCAAAGATTATTAGCATTCTTTAATAAATTTGATCGAATCTGGCACATGGTCGCATTCTGTGAGTATTGACATTGAGCCTTAATTCATGATTGCAATGGAATGAGATCGATTGACAGATTGATCCAGATTGACTCGTCGACATATGAAGAGAGAGGAAGAAGAAAATAAACGGACGAATCAGGCCGATTTGAACAGATATAGATAGATGATTATGAACAGAATAAGATAGATAGATAGATAGATAGATAGATAGATATATATGAACAGAATGAGATAGATAGATATGAACAGAATGAGATAGATAGATAGATATGAACAGAATGAGATAGATAGATAGATATGAACAGAATGAGATAGATAGATAGATAGATAGATAGATAGATAGGAACAGAATGACATTGATAGATATGATCAGACAGGGATAGATACATAGATGTGAATAGACTGAGATAGATAGATAGAGAGAGACGTGACCGATAAAATAATATCCCTTAAAAGGAAGAAACGGTTTTTTGTAGTTCACCGTGACCAACTGTGAGAAACTCTCCCACAAATGAAATCTAGTTGTGTTTACGACACCAACATCAAAGAATCTCCTAATGTTTTCTTCATATGCAATCAGTGACGACAACATCAAGACACACGGCTATAGTGCGTCACTGTTACCATTTCTAAATTTGTAATCCTTTCAGTAGAGAAACGAAAACATTTTTGGATTTCAACGGATTCAGTCCCAATCAATTTGTTTTTCAATTTTCTATCCAAGGAGAAAACCTGCCATTTTAAATCGTGGGGATTGGAGATTTTAAGAATTGAAAAAGAAATGTATAAAACTCTCTTCGGCCAGTCTCTACAAAAAATACAGGGGGACTGTGGATTTTACAAGTGTTTCATATACCCGGCCTAACTCTTCCTAATGAAATTCTGTATGCAAAGAGTTATATCAAGAGAATGTCGATTTTACAAGTATTCAATCAGACTAACAAGCACTTCTTAATTTTTTCCAAAGCTCCACTTTTAAAAGGCAAGTGACATAAAACATGCAAAAATCACCAAAATGAACGTTGCTCACAACCGCGGACATCAAGGATTTTCCTGATTGATAATATGAAATATTGGACTAAGCGTAACACATACACACAGTCAGAGGCAAACGCACCCAAACATACATATATATATATATATATATATATATATATATATATATATATATATACAGCTCTTTTAAAAAGAGTCTACCATGGATGCACACCAGAAAGAAAAAGGGCTCAACACCATACAATACAATTTTCTGAACAAAACATCACCTTATAGTAGTGGTCGAACTGTGTACACCTGAAAAGTGATTCTTTTTATATATATATATATATATATATATATATATATATATATATATATATATATATATTAAAAAGGAAATGATGAATTTTTATTTATTAATACGACAGATTTTATTACTAAAATTTTTTATTTTTAGTCGATACCCATATTTGAATAGACGTTCCGTCTATTTATTAAACATTTTATATTTCTTTATTTTCGTCTACCCGCCTGAATATTTGCCAAATCTTATTAAAGAAAAATACGCACTCTCCAGCAGAATCTTATCGCTGGCAGCTTCAAAATTGCAGGTACGTAGGTCTCACTGTTAAAGCATGTGGAAGACTTTGAATTCTGCCACTTTGTGTCCCATTAATATTTCGACTGACCTTTCAGTCATCTAATGAATATTCATGAACGTTCTCAAATTTAAAAGCCTTGATAAACCAATGACTTCTTTGCTTTTGTATATAAAAACATGCAGCCAAATAAATCCCACATTACCTTGATAAAGTCCTTCGGTAGACGAGAAACTAGTTGGTTAGAATAGTTTTGCTCTTGTCTTTTTTATTATATATATATATATATATATATATATATATATATATATATATATGTGTGTGTGTGTGTGTGTGTGTGTGTGTGTGTGTGTGTGTGTGTGTGTGTGAACCTTTACGAGTGTTTATTCTATATACTGAAGTGATAAAGTCAACATTATTTGATCTTATTCTCGAATGTTTCGATCAATCTGATATATGATCCTGAAGCGAACAAGGACACTAACACAGCAAAATGTCGACGTTCTCTCACGGAAAGAGAGATCAAGACATGATATAACCTGGCAATCGTTGCACCTCTTCCTCGGCATGTAATGACCCTTTTTTATCCCTAACTTTGTAATCCCTGGTTGACAGACTTATCTAATACACTAGGTAAATTAGTTTACACACACACACACATATATATATGTAATTACAT